CCCCAGCCCGCATCCGTGCCAATATGGGGTGGCCGTGGCAGGAGCCCTCGGGCCCCGGGAACTGGCAGGCGCTGCGGACTCGGGCCATCTGGAGAGCCAGTGGTCAGAGTCCACCAGCACACACTGTCCGGCCGGGCCAGCAAGGTACCTGCTCGTGTCGGGGTCAGCTGCTCAGAGGGCTTGACCCGCTCCTCGGGCACATGGCTGCGCAGCGCGTGCAGCTCGGCCACAGGCAGGAAGGAGGGCTCCAGCGCCTTAGCGGCCAGCAGCTCCTTCTCTCGGGCCCGTTGCTCGCGCTCCCGCTCCAGCTCCTTCTCCCGCTCGCGCTCCCGCTCACGCTCCTTCTCCCGCTCACGCTCCTTCTCCCGCTCACGCTCACGCTCCTTCTCCCGCTCACGGTCGGCCTCCCGCTCACGTTCCCGTTCACGCTCTCGCCTCAGCTCTTCGTCCATCTGCAGCCTGTGGGGTGAGCGGAGAGCTGGAGAACGTGCCACAGGAGGGACCTGGGCAGGCCCATTGCAGATGCCCAGGCTGGGACGTTAAGCGTGGTCACCTCTCTCCTTCCTTAATGTGCCGAGAAGCCCCAGCCCCGCACGACAGCGAGACTCCCGGAGCACACCTGCTGGAGGAGCCCGAGCATAGGAGTGCTAAGGGGGCCGCCCAGCCCAGCTGTTGTCCAGGGACCGGGGGCAACACGGCTCCTGGCCGGGACGTGGCTCACCTCTCAGCGCTGAGGCCAGACATCCGCTCCGAATGCAGGGCTGCCAGCGACGAATGCGCGAGTTCAGGGGGGTAGCGAACCCCGGAGAGGTGGAGGTGCATGGCAGAGGGGTGCAGCGGGGGCAGGGAGCCAGGAGCAGGGATGGGGTAGAACGGGGACCTCAGCGTGGACAGGCAATACGAGTCCTCCACCCTGTGCCGGAAGATGGGCTGGTCAGCGTGTGCAGACTCGGCCGGTGGCTACACCTGCCCCAGTATGCACAGCAGCGTGGCCACGGCTGCAGGCGAAGCCCTCACTGCAGAGTCCGCTGGGCCCCAAGACCCTGCTACCCCTCAGCACAGCCACACAGGCGGGCCTGAGGCCTACCACGGACGAGCACGGGCACACAGCTGGGCACTGGGAGTGTCTGCACGCGAGAGGGAGTGTGCGTGCCAGGGGCCTGTGACAGTGCGGTGGTGGTCCCCTGCCCTGATGAGCGGTCATTCGCTGGGGGCCAGTGACGAGAGAGGGACTGGTAGCTTGGATCCCCGAGGGCATCTCCTACTGGGGGAACCAGGAGAGCCACGGGGTGATGCGAGCTGGGGGGGCAGGTCCAAGACGGAGAGATTGCGGGGAGGGGCTCACCTGAAGGCCGGGTGGGGGAAGGGGTGCGGGGCCAGGTAGCTGGGGTGGTAGTAGGCTGCAGCGGTGGCTGGGTCCAGGCCGAGTGGTGGCATGGAGGACAGGCGGAGGTCCTCGGGGGTGTGGTAGGGCCGGAAGCTCCTCAGGTAGTCCTCAGTCACGGTGCTGGGGGGTACCACATGCTGCACCGGCCGGTGCCGCGTGG